TGGGAAAAAATACGGAACTAAGGATACAACCAAAGAAACTGAAGTTAAGTACTGTAAATAGAAAGGTGTTAGAAATAACATCAAGATACAAGTGCAATAAAACCACTAGAGTAAACGCAAAAAGGTAACAAGATTACGTAACCAAAGGTGAGAAGGCACTGAACGAAGTGTCAACCTGCGAATACAACTTCAGTGCAACAACGTGCTCTTTTTGCTTACACAAAACAGGCTTATGAATACGTACACAAACTGCCTCAACAGCCTCTGCTTTTTGCGTTTCCTCTAGTGGTTTTATTGCACTTGTATCTTGATGTTATTTCTAGCACCTTTCTATTTACAGTACTTAACTTCAGTTTCCTTGGTTGTATCCTTAGTTCCGTATTTTTTTCCCACTGATGATAGGAACGAGAAAATCGATTCTGGGTTTTCAATAATATTTTTGTTATAAAATACACAGTAATACATGTCAAACAAGTAACGTAGTTGCGTGATGTCTGCGGCCTTCATCCTATTCATAGCTATATTTATTTTTTAAATATTATATTCAGTCGTATTCAGTCGTTCCAACCTACGACTTCCATTATGCCGTGAAACGAGTCGCTCAAGCACATCCACAAGCTTCGCATTTGCTCGGTAGGATAATCCTCCCAGTATTCTACAACGGCTTCGAGGAGGTCCCTGCGATTCCCCTTGGCGACTAAGGAGCCGTCTGAGTGGAGGGAGGCGGATAAAGCCAGGTCGTCGACATTCCGATCCGGAGTTTGCGCTGGTTGCACGACGACTGAAATGTTTCATCTTGCAGTGCAAGCGGAACCGAAATAATTATGTTCTCACGCTGCGTGGATCTATGGGGCCGCGCTCCGCAAGTACGAGCCTGGCCAGCTTCAGGGCAGCGAGTGCCGCGTGACTCCATGTTCTAGCCGCGATCTCCACTTCGTCCCGGTGTCAATTTCGAGCAAGGTGTTAGTTATTTTTTCATTTGACTCGTGAGTTCCTGTCGGCAACGTCCTCACACGCATGGCTTCCGTGGAGAATCTGTTCGGGATCAACCAAACTTACCTCACCAATGAATGTAGGTTGTCAATAACCATGATGACAGCCTTTGGCGCGGTTCGCCGAGCAGGTTCTTGCTCAAAACCACTGTTGAAAAAGGTCACGAAGTTTTTGTATACGGAGGAAGTACAAATAACCTCAAGAGAAGTCATTTCGGGTTGCTAAACCTCACAAGGTTCCTTTTTCGAAATAAAGTTTCGCGAAATATAATCCCATCCAAAAATTCGAACTTTCGCATTGCTTAACATCCCTACTACTTCCTCCGCGTCATAAAAGTTGTCGCTTCCCAGAGCAATATTTCGAATTTATTTCGTCCACTCGAAGGCAAAGAAATCAGCTAGAAATTGAGGCAGAGCATTGTCGACGGACCAAGCTTTAGTTTGTGGCTTCCCGCTTTGCTGCACTTGCAACTAAGGTCGACGTCTTCATCAGAGTTTGAGGCAGACCCTTCAGCACTCAACAATACGCTGAACAAGACGCGCGTTCAAATTCAGGTCAAGAAACTTCGTTTTCAAGCGATCCATGCCTCCAGGTGGCAGGCGACGAAGGCTGGCTAGCATTTTTCAAGTACACTGTAACGACCTTCCAGCGGGCAGGGTAAGCAGTTCCGCACCTTCTTTCCTTGGCAAGCGCTTCGCTGATTTTGTCGATGTTTTCAGACCTGCTAGCTTCGCTGCATGCAACATGCGCCACAAGTAGCGCCTTTTAGGATTTTGAGACCACTTTGTTCTTGCCATCGTCAAGTTCAGCATTTCGTATTCAGGAGAGATACCAGGATTCTTATATCCGAGCTTGCAGTCTTGATAAATGCCCATGCGAACGATGTGGGACGGCACGAACTCCAGAAAACGAAATGCGCTCTGGGGCGGAATAGTGCGGAGCGCGATGAATTTTCTTGGTGCGGAAGAGAGCTCCGACACAGTCAGAGACCACCATGGCTTCAGTAACAAGTAGACATTGCGCAGGAAGGGTTGCACCAGTGGTCGAACCCAGAAAACAGCGATTCCGACAGTCTGACTAAGACAAGCCAAGTCACAAATATTGCGCTGTGCGAAGCGACAATTTTAATGACGCGGAGGAAGTAGTATTACTACTGCTACTACTACTAGCCCCGCGACCTTCAGTCCTGTGCCCTGGTAGAAGCGCACCATGGCTTTGTTTAAATGCTTTTTGGCTAGTGTGTTTCTGTGGTATAGCGGTCTAAAGAATAGGAAACGTGCTACGCAATATTGTGTGATGCTATTTTGTATGTAGGTTTCCCATTCCGTTTTTGGTTTAGTGTAGCCCAGAGGTTGACTCACTTTTAAAATTATATTCTACCCTTCCTCGCTCTCTCATTCCCTCTGTCGTCCACATTCTACCCTTCCTCGCTCTCTCATTCCCTCTGTCGTCCACATTCTACCCTTCCTCGCTCTCTCATTCCCTCTGTCGTCCACATGTATCAAAGCAGGCATTTTTGGTACGACGGTAAATAACCTTCTACATCATACATCATACAGCAACAGTTATTCGTTCTCGTCATTGTTCAGTTGGGCTGTTGGCAGCAAGTGATGCATCGAGGGGGCTTAGTTCGAGTTTCTGCGACAGTATGGACTATTCCCATTATGTCCCTGTGCTCGATGCAAAATGCATATTGAGGCGCTCCGTGTGTGCTTTCCTGCCACTCGGTTGGATAACTTTAGTCAAGACCACTTGTTGGCGCTCGAGGACATATTGTAGCAGACTATGGTGGTGGTCTACACCCAATTTCAGGACGTAACCTCGCCGCTACTGGCTCTTGAAGGTTGCCTTCGTGATGGTCACCATTGGACAGGTTGAAGTGATTAATTCGTTTGAGGGACTCAGCAAGTCCCCAATCTATAGATGGATGACTAAACATGACTAGGTAACTTGGATCGTGATGCGAACGAAGTTAGTTTGGCTGCCCTGTGTTGTTGTAAGCAGCAGTGACCCCTCGTTCTTGTACCTTTTTTCAGTGCGTATTTTAGTCGATTATTGGGTTTCGCCCAATATCCAAGGAACGGAGGCCCTCCAGATCAAACCATTACAGTGGGCAAACAAGGTCCACCTCCGGCTAATCAGAGCCATGCCGGCCATGTCCGGTGATTTCAAACCATGTTCAGAGAGTTCGAGTGGGACAGGAACTTGGTTATGCCCTTCCATGCACAAGAGGCGTCCCTCAAGGCTCAGTCCTTGGGCCGCTGCTCGTTTGTATATAGACATATGCGATGTTTCCTTTCTCATATTTTCGTTTCATCTGAGTCTCCTTTGCAAGTTTTCCCATGCCTGGGTTACTTAGACCTCATTCACTTCCTTGTCATTTTGACATATTCAGTCCATTCGGTTTGCGAATTCAAATAAACACAACCAACCAACCATGCACCATAATGCTTCAGACATTCATCTAACAAACTCTTCGCAGATGATATAACCTTTCATATCCGTAGCCATTCCGGTCAAAAAGTAGCTACTCGACTGAGTGAGGACCTGGCTGCTCTCGATGGCTATCTTGAAAGGAAAGGACTTTTATTGAATCCATCTAAGACCCAGGTTTAATACTTTGCCACCCTGGTAAAGAGCTGCCCCTGGTACAGCAGTTCTCTGTCGTGACACCCCCATTGCCCCTCTGCTTCCGCCCGCTATTTTGGAAAGTTCGTTGATGAGCATCTATCCTTTTCTGACCAAGTAGCAGCGGTGTGTACATCTGTTAACAAGAAAGTAGGAGCCTTTGTGCTTGCAAAGCAGAATATCAGTATCTTTGGCAAGCGACTGTTCTACCTCCCTATAATTCAGTCTACTCTTGAGTATGGCAGCACCGCATATGTACACTGTTTGTTGCAAGCTCTTTATAACAAACCTCTTGCTGCCAGCCGCTTAGCACTAAAGAGAATTTTTTTCCTTGGATAGAATGACCCCAACTGCCCTTCTCTACAGTAACACCAATGTATACACCCTTGAACAACGACTCAATTTCAAGACCTATGTATTTGTGCATCGCTGCCTGAATGGCCTTGCTTGCTCTCTCCTGACAAGACCGCTTTACTCTTCGTGCTCATAGTGCTCACACTGCTGCACTTACCCGTGGTCAGGTGTCTGCCGTGCTTGTTTTACCCCTGCTAGCACACGCTATGGTTTGAGTGCAATTTCTTATGTAGGCTGACCGGTGGAATGCACTGCCACCTGCGCACCACCTTTCTAATTCACCTGCTGAATTTCGATCATCCATCAAGACTTTCTTAGGGTTCCCGGTTGGGAATTCCCTAGTAAAATAAGAAAAAACAAAATAAAGAAAAAACATGTTTGGTCGTTACGGACATTGACTATTATATTCCAGGCTGGATTTCTACTCAATCTGTGGACAGAACTGTTTCGTCCTTTGTGGACTCATCAGCGCAGCAGAAAGGAAATGAGGCCGAACCTGATAGCAATGAAAATTAAATTTTCCAAAGCCAGATTTAAAGCAGGCCTGAACGTACCTTGCCAGAGTGCTCAAACAGACAAGTTACATGTAGTAACCTCTGCACAACGCAAACAGCAAAGCCCTACCCCACACAAGAGTCCTCAACTCTTCCAGGGTGGATTTCTATCAAAAAGATTTCAACAAAGCAATGTCAGGTAATTCGAACCTCACTTGAAATGGGCATATTTTCTCGGGGTTGTATAATTGGAATGCCCAATTATTTAGAGGTTTTTCCTGGCATATTAGGGTTTGATTTATCCAGATTATACGTATTGCTTCGGTTGTCCCTGCTCTGTCTCCTCAGCGTTGATTTTCTCATCTTGTCCGCAAAATTAGATTGTTTAGCGCCCTCGTGTACGTATACAAATAGTATGTTAAGGTAATTGACAACACTGCTGTGTTGTATTTTGGAGTTTCTAGCAGAAACCGTAATGTTTTCTGTACTGTTCTGGTTGTGCATCTGGTTATTTCCTTTGGATATTCGCAGTTCTTATCGGTGGCCGTGATTTATATGGTGCTAGCTTGGAGTGAGCCTTCCAATGCCTGTGGATTGTGTACATGTAGCAAAGGAGTTCTCATGTCGTGCTCAAACACTGCCTCGTCGGCCATGTGAGTTCTACGTTGTCTGTCGTTTGAAAGCTTCAACTTACAAATTTCATAACCGCAATGAAAAAGACAAGCTGAATCGACATTATTTTGTGTACACTATATTCATGCAATGTAAAACTGTGGAGACGATGTGCAATAAAACGATGAAAATATGAAAAAATGGTGTAGAGAAAATAAGGATTCAAACAAATTTTCGTACAACACTCATCAGGAATCGTCATTGTACTAAAGGACACTGAAAACAAAATTGAACTATTATAGAAAATCTAAGTGAGAGAAATAACACTAAGAACAACAGCAGTAAATTTACAAGTGTGAATTTTAACAACGAAAGCGAGAGCAATAACGAATGCGTGTGCTAACAATAAACTTGCAAATGAAAAATGAACAAACAAGAGAAAGAAAGAAGGGAGGACAAAGTGATAACAAATAACAGCAGTACATTACACCTAGAACATTAACGGCCAAGCTTGGCCGCACCAAACACGACACGTTACTTGAATAATTTCAACCCGATTATACTATCTTTCTGTACACACAAATTAGGCTTATACAGACGCTGATAGATGGCTTCCAAAACTTTTAACTGTGCTCCATAACCATGACGACCACGTCACAATACAGTGAAAGAAGAGCCGGAATACGAATTGCAACAATCAGGACTAGCTAGCAGATGATTGTACACTGAAGACTTGCTACCAAGAAACCTACGCACAACACTAACATTCTCACCGGCACTCTCACGGTCACCACCATCGTCGCTCCCCGACTCATTGCTCCCTTCACCGTCCGTACCATCATCCGCTTCCTCTGCGCTCTCGCTGTTATCCCGCCTGACTTTGTCCATCATAGCCAGCAATCGCATGTCATCACGTACATAGAAAATCAACATAATTTTGCGAATCGACCTTTTTTTCAGGATCACTTTTCAACGAGGACGAAGCAAAGTCGGCCGAACGAAGCCTAGAGGAAGGAAATCACCCTCTCCACTTCACCATCACGATACTGACATAGATACGAGATGAAACAACTAAAAAATCCACAAGAAAGCTGTACGGCCATCTTCGCGCTGACTTTGGTCTGACTTTGGTCTGAGAATTTTCTATCACCATCAAAAATGTACGAGAAGCACTCGAAAATAAGCTACAGACGTACCTTTATCACTCTCTACTCCTGTTCAAAGGCACAAACGTAGACTCTCCACTTTCAAACCAGGAACCAGACATACCAGTGGTCCTTTTCAGCTGCTCCACGAGCGCAGAAAATATTCACCAAGGGTCGCAGAGCAGCATCCATTCCAGAAAATGAGCTAAAATACGAGTGAGACTGAATGCCTGAGTACATGAGTACATGCATGAGTACATGCAGAAAATAGTCAATTTCAGCGTTTCTGATCCAAACAGCAACTAGCTTCGACTAGAAACAAAGATTACACCAAAGGATCAAACAACCATTTTCTTCAGTTTTTTGCAGATTGCTTCCTTGTGCTTGGCCCAGCAGGCCAAAAATAACGTCTCGGAGGAGTACACAAATTACAACTCTCAGATGTCCACGATTGCTGGCCATGAACTGGACTCAGCCGTCACCATGCCGTCACGTCCTTCCTCCCCAGAGGAAGCGGATGATGGTACGGACGGTAAAAGGAGCAATGAGTCGGGGAGCGACGATGGTGGGGACCGTGAGAGTGCCGGTGAGAATGTTAGTGTAGTGCGTATGTTTCGGCACCGATCCCGTAGAATTTTGACCAAAAGTGGTTTTTGAACCGTTTGTGCCGGTGATCGCCGGTGCCTGGAGCCAGACTTTGTCTAAATTCCACACCAATATTTGTGCTAAATTTTCCTAAATTGAAGCAAGAGAGGAGGTCCATTCGCCATTCTTGTAGTGGCTTCAAGGTGGCAAATAAGTCAGCATAGCAACCCGTCCTTCTCGGATGATCTGCTTGACTGTTGTGCAACTTATGAGACAACTACAATTGAAACAAATAAAAATACGATGATACGTTGGCAAGTTCTTGTACTTAGTCCGGCTCTTCGCAATTGTCGCTTATCTCCCACGCACTTTTTGACAGGTAAAACCCAGCCCAATCACGATATCTAACTTACTTTTGCTTGGGAGATTGTGATGGCAAGATCAAATGAGGCACCAAAGAAAAAATGATCGTGACTAGCGCTTTGAATCGCTATGTGTTCGACTTTTCTGGGAAGTGGAAATCTGGCCATTCACTGTCTGTGTTGCCAAAAGCCTAGCGCAACGACCCGAAGACTGGAACTGCAGCAGGGGCAACTGACATCCTGGAGAGCGTGACAGGCGCGCGTGCACGGCAGAGGAGTATGAGCGTCATGCTGAAGAATAAAGGTGTTTTCGATGCGATGCGCGCATGCGAGAGACGTTTTGGTTGTGCCCACGGTTCCTTCAAGCACCGAAGTGACAGACACAACTGTTCCTTTCCCATTGCTGCCATACCACAGGCTGACAAAGCAAGAGATTCTCTGCCAGTCTACACCAGCCGCTAGACACCAGCAATTTAATGTCAGCTCATGTAACTGCGGAAGCTCGAGTGATGGAGAGTTGAATGGACTCTGTACCTGTAAGAGTGTGAGTGCAATAACGCGCTCCTTCGCTGATTTATTTCGTGCATTTTGCTTACCTTGCTTCCCTTCTATGACTCGCTTCACCTGATTCCATGGCTGATTTTTTTTCTTTTGGCGGAGAGTATTCATGTATCATGCTTCCTCACTATGCCTATTGGCAATTTCACAGAGCGGCACCAAAACTCCTGTTCTTAGTGGTGATAGATAAGCGACAATTGCGATGAGCCGGACCAAGTAACTTCATCAACATTTGGCAGCATAATTTTGACGCCATCGCTTACCACTTGTAGACTGCAATATATTATGTAGAAGTAGTTTCATGATCTCCAGTAAAAGGTAGCAACAAGTGGCCATCACCGAAAGACCTTGAACTACTGAAGGAACAAATAATTCAATTGGCAAACCTATCGTAGCATTTGGGCACATTCTGTACTACTTTGTAGTAGATTTGGTACTTGAACCGTATACGCAACGGATCGGGAGCTGGCTCACCGCCGATGTCTTGCGGCGCCAATTCTGGTTATGTGAACTGTTGAACGCCATTGTTGGACATTCTGACACAACGCAAGGCAACACCTACATTGTGACTAGTGAGAGAGCTCGACTCAAGAGAGCGACGCAACGCAACGCAATAACTACATTATGACTAGACTGAGTGAGCTCGACTCAAGAGAGCGATTATTTGAAGAGAGTTGAGAGAGAGATTTGAAGAGAGGCAACGCAATATATAGGGCCTGGGTAGCTATGGCAAATATGGACGCGCAAGTAGCTACCCAGGCCAATGGAATAATGCATGAACCTAACAGAACCAACCCTGAAGTGGACTGTGGTGCATACGAATGAACGCAGTCAATGACTACATTAGTATGGCTTTGTTTGCATGAGAGTTTTCGACCCGGGTTGAGTTCGATTGGGTCATATTTCAAGCACAGGAACGCACTTGACGTCGTTCGGCGGAAGCTTGACGCTGCGCTGTAAGACGCCGTCTTGAACTTGCAGCTGACCGCGGATGTTCTGGAAGCCACTGTCAGGCGGGAGGTCGTCCCCAGCGATCACTGCGGCCTTCACTGCCTGGAGTGCACCATTGTCCTCCTGCCCGGCCAGGATCTCGGCCATCGACAGACTCGGCATGATGGCGAGGCTGGCAGCAACATCCGTCGCGCTGTTATCCGATGTGCAGGCCAGCCAGGACGTCGGAACGCGCGTGAGCTGTCGTCAATGATCTGCAACCGACGCTTGACGAGCAGCTCGTGGAGCCCGCCAACCTTCACGCGGCGCTCTTTCCCGAGGATCTGACGAAGCCAGCCATGCACGGTCTTGGAATCTGTGTGGAGGCGGATCTTCCGCGCAGGCCAATTGGCAGCCGCGTTGAGGCCCTTGATGACGGTGTCCAACTCAGCGATGTTGATATGCCGTTTGTCGTCAGCCGGGCGCAGCCAGCTGCGGTCCTCGATGACCTCGCCGTTGACTTGCACCACGACACCCAGCGCGATTCCCGACACATCGCACCACACGTGCCACTCCGTTGCGTCGTCATGCTGCACCGACCATACGCCACGCACCGGATCGTGCTCGTTGACTTGGGTCTGGAGGTCGCGGCAGAGCTGCAGCAGACGAGGTGGCACGGCGACATCCCAGCCGACGGATTCGCCGATCATCCGCTTCAGCCAATTCGTCGTCGGTCGCAGCCACGCACAGACGGGGTAATGGCTGACGAGCTTGCCACACCAGCTGAACACGGCGCGCTTGGTGGGCGCCTCCGGTAGCTGCAGGCAGACGTCACGGCGACGTTGCCAGTTGATGGTGCCGTATTGAGTTGAGAGCTGGAGGCCCAGCACCCCAGCAGTAGGGAGCTTCTCGGCAGGCTTGCACTTCAGGCCGTAGCGCTCGAGCTGCTGGATCGTGGCCGCCACTCGGGAGTCCGGCACACGCAAGTCGTCGACATAGTTGTCCACGCCGTCGAGGTCTTTGGCCACCCACTTCACGACCATGTCGAGGATCTTCGGCGCGACGTTGAGGCCGAACCCCATGCGCGTCATGGCAAACAACTCTCCTTGCCACACGATCGCTTGATAGCAGTACAGACGGGGAGCCATCCGGATCTGGAGGTACGCCTTGCTCAGATCAAGGAGAGCGCTATCACCGTCCTCGAGTCGCCACTCGCGCAGCTTCTGGCCGCAAGCCGGCGCATCCAGGCCTGGGTGCGACACGAGACACTCATTCAGAGCGCGGTAGTCCAAGCACGGCCGCACGGGAGTCGACGCCTTGTGAGCCTGGTCGACAGCCATCAGTGGAAGAACACAGGCCAGGTGGCTTCCCAGAAGCCTAGGTCGTCGCGCCAGGTTGCCTCAATGTCGTCCATCCGCAGCGTGACCTGACCATCGCCGTCGCTGACCGAGGTATGCCGTG